GGAAATTAAAATTGGTTCAATATTAATATCTAATCTATGAACCTTACTGCAATCTTGCCAGTTGGTTCAATAATATCCTTTATGGGCAAAGAAAATCCAAGACACTGTGTTGTGTCCAATTGTCCTGTTTCTTTAGTCTCCTTTAATCCAGGACAGTTCTTCCGTCTTCCTTTGATTTCCATGACATTTACATTTTGAAGAGTATAGGTCAGTTATTTTGTAGACTTTCTCTCAGGTGGGGTTTGTGTGATGTTCCCTCATAAGCAGATTCAGGTTATGCCATTTCACCAGGAATGTCACATTAGTGATGCCCAGTTCTTCCCAGTGCAGCAAAATCTGGAGGCACATGCTGGGTCCATTACTGGCAATGTTGACTTTGGTTATTTGGTTAAGAAGTGTCTGCCAGGTTTGTGCACGGTAAATTTACTATTTATCCTTTGTATTTCATAATATCTAGTGTGGAGATACTGTGAGACTTTAGAAGTATTTGGTTACTCCTCAAAATTTCCCCCCCTAGATTCAGCATCCATTAATGGTCGTTTGCTTGAATCAATTATGATGATGATGTTTGCCAATGATGATTTTCTTATGCTGTCGTTCCTTCTACATTGATAAATAAAACAAAAAACCAAACAAATAAATGAAGGAGAAGGGAAAGCTTATTATTTTGGTGCTAAAATGCCCCAGATTTGGCCAGTGGTAGCCATTTCAAGTTGATTTCATGTCTTTTTGACCTGTCCCCATTATTCTTTGAGCACTTCCTTATTCTCTGGGAGAAAATGTTCCAAGCTCATCTTAATGATCATTCTTCCCCCTTACCTTCACCCAGACATCTAAGTGCTGCTGCAGATCACACAGTGCCCAGCAATCCTACTAATGATACTCACTCAACACGGGTTGACATAAGGGAAGCCATATTGTATAAAAGAAACCATATTGTAACTTTGAATGACCTCAGACTAACTAACCCAGCTGGATATGCACTCTCCAGGAGTCCTACCTGCTTTGTAGATTTTATGACCCCTGCTTGTGTATGTACCTCCCAGTTGCGATAAGATGATAACTTAGTTCTTTTGAGTTCCTTAGGAATGTGATAACGCCGAGCAGAGAGTCTATGCTGATAGCTATCATCAACGACAACTGAAAGATCTGTTGTGGCAACTCCTGGGTCAACATTCCTCACCCCTTCCCTCTAACCCACTGGCCTATATAACTGCTTCAAGATTCTGTGCCCTGCTTAAGATGGTTCTTTAGGATGCTGGCCTGCCGGTCTTCCGATTTGCTAGTTTATCACTTAATAAATGCCCTTTCTCTGCCACAATCTTGCCTCTTGACAATTGGCTTTTGTCTTCAGGCGAACATACTGTGCCCTTTGCGTGGTAACACTATTTTGCTTTAGTCAATTTGCATCTCCTTTCTTCACAGTGATTATTTTGAATCTAATCTCCTCTACAAACTTCTCACTCTATTTCTTCCCTCACACTTGGACCAGGCGATCTTATTTCCCCACAACAAACTTCTGAAAGATTTCCCTGTTTCCTCATCAACAATTTACGGCCACCATCTTTAATATGTCTTCTTCCCCCATTCTCCCAAAACTATTCAAATTTACTGATGACTTCCACGTTGCTAAATCAAAGTGACATTTTTCCACTCCTTGTCTAATTTCTCATTCCTCTTGGTATTCAATATAAGTGACGTCCTTGAGACACTTTCTCCTTTTGGCTGGGCTGGGCTTTTAATATTCTTTAACTTTATCCTGAATGCACACACAAAGTATTCTGATCAGAGACAGAGTTCTTATTAAATATCTCACAGAAAGCAACATGCACATTACTCCCCTTGCTCAGTCTTACCCTTGGGCTGAGAGGTTCAGATCTAGTCAATTGTCCTACACCAGTAGGTGAAGGACAGGAAGACTGACTTTCCCTGCTGCTTGAGAAGGGGCAGGGTCAGCTGGCCCCCCCCCCCCCCCCCATCCTGGGAAGGCTCTCTGCCTTACTCCAGCCCTTTGGTATGTAAATAAAATCTCTCCAGGAGCAGCCTGCACCTCATTCCTCCTTGAAATGTAAATAGTGCACCTCAGGGGACCTACTCCGGGCTGTAACTATTTAGTTCTCCTAGGGAGATGAGACATTATTAATCCTTGCAGATCAGAGCAATTAACTAGACAAATGGCTGCAGATCTAAATCTCATGACTGCATGAAGAGTATTAGAGGGTTAGGGCTTTTCACAGAAACACTGAGACATCCCAGGAAGTTTTATTTTCCCACAATTCCACCCCTTGATCCTGAGTTTTAGCCCCTGGAGAATTTTCCTAAGTTTATGCCACATCAGCCACTCTAACCTGCCAAACTGAAGCTCTCATTGGCAGTCACCAAATCCTTATTGCTTATGTTAGGCAACGTTTAATCAAAGGCAACGTTTGATCAGCAGGACCCTGAGCAACAGGAAAATGATGAACCTGTAGCATGGGTCTCAGCCAAACACCCCAAGATCTCAAATTGAAGCATCTGAGTCCCAAAACCATTAGGGTCTCTCTTTGAAAGCCAGGTGACTTCCTCCTCATGTTTCTGTATTAACCTTTTCTACCTGGTCCAAGGCACATACCCAAGGACAGCTGGCTATGCTAACAATTTGCACAGACTTGGCCTCGGCCTGCAAGGAAGGCAGGCTCGGCAAACTCTGTCATCCATACAGCGATAGCCAGTGAGTTGAAACTCCCCTGAAGGCCTTTCAGGCTGAGGTGAGGTCATGGCTCACTTCAGCAGGAGTCAGGGATGAATTTCATACAGCTTTCTAAGGGAACATCTCCCATTTAGGTAAAACCCCCACAGCGTACATGTGTGGGGGCTATGTGCACTAAAGGGGTGTTTCCTTCAGCGTTTGAATGTTTCTGATAACCGCCCCTAGGTGTAAACCACAGTGTTTCCACTAGAGAGCAAGTTACTGCCTGCCTTTCCCACCCACAACACAGGATTCCCAGAGGACACACATAACTCCCCAGGAAAGAGATTCCAGTTGCTAGGGACCACGAGCTGGACACAGTCAGGCAGCACTATGGCCTCCCACTGACTGGGAAGGTTTCGTGCCACCTTCCTCAGAGTTCAGTCTGAATAACTGAGATCAGTTTAGTTTATGTTTTCAGTGGGACCCCCTGGAAGCAGGCAGTTTCAAGTGGTTCTGCTGGCCTTTACTGAGGAGGGGTTCTCTTGGTTCTTTTGGCTGGTCTAATAATTAAATTGACATAAGACAGCTTAACAGGAGGGGGAAAAATTTAATTTTGTACATACAGAGGTCTCATAGATATGGGACCCAAGAAGTGACTGAAGCAGGCTGTTTATATACCTTTTAGACGAAGAAATCTGAAATTTGTGAAGAACTGATAAGATAAAGAAACTTAGCCTTGGGTACAAATTAGTGAAGAAACTAAGCCGAGTTTGTTTACATAGGCTTCTCGACTCTGAATTCTGTATCTCAGACACTAAGGACGTCCCTCCACCTCCTGGTGCAAGGAGGGCAACTTTCACATGGGAGATTTATTTCCTGCTTTTAGGGGGACAGAGAGGAGAGTCAAAGTGTCCTTCTTGCACCTGTTGTTTCTCAAGTTAATACTAATTCAAGATAATCCATATGCTACTTTTGCATATTTTCGAGAAGTCTGCCCTCAGCCTGTGGGAGACTGGAATTGGCCACCCCAAGATATGTCTCTTTGCCATGAGGATTATTTTGGGCTGGTTACTTTTCTAAAAAACTGCAGACAGGAAAGAAACTCTAAAAAGTAGAATTTACTTACCCTTTGTTAGAAGACATGTACAGTGTAAAGGAAATCTCCATCTGTAAAGGTGTCTCCCTCTCTGTACCAGGAAGGAGGGATGACCTTATCTCTAGAAACTGTTATTAATGTGGAAGGCAAGGATTCAAGTCTGCATAACAATCTTACTCTTGTTTACTGTACTTGTGCGGTAACCTCCTGTAACTGACTCCCCCCACCCCCAACATCCTCCTTTGTCTTTAGCTGAAGATGATATTTAAGGTGGTGGCTTCAGCCATTTTGGTGAGTTGCTCAGTTTGCCTGAGCCTCTCCCATGTATACATGTTATAAAGCTTTGTTTAATTTTCTCCTATTATTCTGTCTCATGTGAATTTAACTCATTCTCCAGCCAGAAGAACCCAGAGTGGGTAGAGGAAATGTCTTCTTCCCTGACAAGCCCCATCAGTTCCCTCCTCTGAAACTTTCCTAGCAATTTCCCATATTAAAAGCTGAGCTGGTGTCTTCGGAGTGAAAGATCAGGTTAGTAGCTGAGTGGTAACAGATCTGTAAAGGGAAAAAAGAACATGGACCAGAATGAGGATCAACCAACAGAAAAGAACAAATTGAAGCACATTTCCCCACAACCCAAAAACCAGTCTCCCAACCCTGGGAATAGACCAGTCCAATGAAATGGTTTTGCTTCATTTATGTGATGAAAAATGTTAACCTCTTTTCACAGATTTAAGTCACACACTACAGGTCCTGTTTGATTTACAAACAGCATCATTTTCCAGCAATAATCACACAAGCCTGCAGTCCCTCTTAACTGTCCATCTTCTATCATTGAAGTCATTTTGTGGATCTTTCCAAGATCTTCGTCTCGGATGTGGTACCCAGGCCGTGAGTTGACTCCATCGCTACTCTCACGACCGAAGCCCGCGCTGTCCCTCCTCCAGGTGGAGGAGGCCGGGGGGGACTCGCCCTTTTTACTCCAAAAGCCAAAAATCTTTTTTATCACGGACCCTACGGGCTTCAGAGCCATCTCGCCGCCCCCTCCGCTTTTCGCTGCATCCTGAGCCCAACACCAGTACTGTAGATAAGCTGGCCGGGTCCCGCCACAACATCCCAGCCACCAAACTCTGCGGTTGAGAATCTCTCAGCGCAGACCAACCGTAGCCCAGCAACTGTCGCTAAACACAAGCGCGCATGTGCACCTTCGAAGATGCCGTTACTGCGCGTGCGCACAGAGACCCAGGGGCCCAGGGTGCCCAGAGCGCACGTGCGAGGCCTAGGTGGTTCAATCTCGGCGATGGTTTGTGGGCAGCGCGGTTCGCTTACAGTCTTCGGTGGGCGTCGGCTGAGTGTTTCCAGACGTCTGCAAAAGTTAGATGTTCCCAGTGGAAAAGCAATCTTTGCATATAACTGGGACTAGAGTAGCTTGGAAGGTCAGGATGCCAAAGGACTCGTCCTGCAGAAAACTCCCATAAACTCTACTTACCCCTCAGTTTATTCCCCTTCCACATCCCTCTGGGCCCCGGCCGGTCTCCATGGGATTCAGCAGATGCAACAGCAGAAAGCTGTTTTCATGGTTTCAGAGATTGTGGCCATGTGTGTCAAGTGCAGACTGAGGGGGAGAAACCAGTGCACATTCTCCGGATGAAATGAAACGCGTTTCTGCATGCCTCTGAACCCTCCCCTTTGACTTACCCTTACCTTTACATCTTCTTTACTTTTATTTTTTGCTATTTTCCCCCAATTAAATCTGTAATCAATCCAAGATTTATTTTGGAGAATGGTGTGATATTTAAGAGCTTTTTAACAAAATGGCGATTGTCCCAAACAGTCCATCTTTTCTCACCTCGTTTAAAATACCTCTTTATCTTACATTAAATCCTCAGGTGTGTTTTTTCTCTTTTGGGTTTTCCATTCTGTTCCATTGAATGGTCTACTTTTTCTTGCATCCCTAATCTATCATTTTAACTTCTTTTTATGTCCCTCATTAGCTCTTGATAGTTTTTTTCCTTATGTAAACCCTACACACTTCTTATAGTTTGTACTGATTATTGTTTTGATATCTGTGTATTCATTTGACAACCAGAGTGAAGGATTTTTTTAAGCTATAATTTTTTAACAGGAGAAAAAGTTGACATTTTCTGGCAGATACTTAGGGAAGGCACAAACTGGATGGTAAAAATTTCACCAGAAAGATGTAATACTAAAGAACAGTGTGATGCAGGTGAAAAAAATCAAAATGCGCACAGATGGGCTGTTTGTATTGAAGGGTAAGATAATTACTGAAAATTTTAAAATATATAATATAGCTATTTTTTCCTCAAATCTTATTAGCCAAATTTTTCAGTAATTAGCTACCTAACAGGGACATCTAACCTTTTTGTTTCCTCTGAATATTTTCTCTGTTCCTTTGCTTTATCTACCCAAATCTATTCCCCACTCTTACTTGTGTAATCTTATCATCTCCATTATTATGAAGCCTCTGCACTCTACACTTGTCCCATATTCCTTAAGATCTCTCAGACATAAAATCTAAATAATCATTTCCCCTTGCTTCCATCTTCCTCTATTTGCAACTCGTGTGTTTCCATCTTTATTCCATTTCTTAGGAAGGCAAAATATGTTGACTCCACACTCCATAGAAACTGGTATAAACAGGTGAGTGTATATGGAAACTCCTTTTAATATAATACTTGATCCAGTAATTCCACCTGGACTATACCTCGTATTGTGGGTGAAGCAGACAGGAGCAGCAGGTACAAAACACAGCTAATACAAAATCAGCTAACCCAAAACTCACCAGGTTCCTATCACATTTGTTAGCGATTTCAAGAATTAACTGAAATAAAAAGTAACAGAAATCACTGTTGCACAAGATGCACAGCAAAATTAGAAAGTTTGGCAGCCATATTTTACAGCAAAACAAATCCATAGACATTAAGTACTTATTCTTCAGAGGCCATTAACACCACTTTGTTCTTAGTAGATTGAATGGTTTGATAAATTATTTGGAAATAGCACCTCAGAAGCCGAGTGTCTGGACTTTCAGCAGAAATTGCTGCTGGAATGCATCTGCAGAGCTCTGGCAAACACTGGGGGCCCTGTGAGGAGGTGGCTGGTTCCAGGATGGGCGTCTTCATCGGGGGAAGAGCAATGAAGAACACCACCACCACCACCATTCTTCAGGCCTCTCCAGCTGGGCTGGGCCAGATAGTTTGGGTGTGAATGGTCTCAACTATGATCACCAAGCATTTACCTCCTACAGTCGCCCAGCTAGAAAATTATCTTTCATCTCCTATTTGTCTCCTCAGTATTCCCCAGGGTGACTTATAAGAATGATAAAGGATGTAGTGACATTTGGAGAGAAGACTCTGACATTCCCTGATGCAACCGGGAATGAGGGTCAAAGCCATTACCAGGCTGTGGGGAGGCAGGAACCGCACCAGGACTCCAGGTACGTTGTAGCGCTTTGGTTGACGCTAGTGTTTTTGTGTGGACCAGAGGTACTCAAGGAGGACACATTAGGCCAGCTCTGAGCTTCTGTGCTCCTTGGTCAGGTGCTGTCTGGATCCCAAAAGAGTTTCCTACAAGCAATTGAACCCTAAGATTTCCCATTCCCAGACTTCCGTGGAACCTAATTTCAGATCCAAAGCACAAGCCTTCTAGAAAGTTGTTGCTTAGAACGTCCATGCCTATCTAAGGCCCCAGTAATGCCCTGGTCAGCTCTTCTGCTCCCTCATGTAATGGTTATGCTAATGAAGTTAATAATGTATGAGAGTAATATTTGTTGTATGATGAAAAACAACTAAGATATGGATGCCTCAGCAAATCCCTTAGCTAAGGTTCTCCAGTCCCAGTTCAAGGCTGTCGTAAATGTTCTCTCCTTTTAAGAGTTACCACGAAACTCGTCAAACACTTTTCCACAGCTGGTTCATTTCTGTTTGGGATGTGTCTTCCCATGCATTCCACTGTGTCTGCTGAGGAAAGTTAAGACTCCGTTGTAATCAAACCATGAGGAGACTATGAGGGCCCAAGTGTGTTGAGGCTGATCTGCCAGTGTCTACCGGAGACCCCTGACCTGGGAAAACCGCAGCAAGGGGGCCATAAAGTTAAAATAGAAAATGTACTGAAAACCTTATTGTGGCATCTGGGAGTCAGCGAGGAAAAACAGACATGACATTCCATGTTCAGGGAGGGAGGCAGGTTTTATATTTATGCCACATTAAGGTGAGCACAGAGGGCCTGTCGAATCAGGTAGAGGAGGATGGCAAGTCAGGGAAAGATGCACAGGAAGAAGTGATACCAAAGCCGAAACTGAAGGAATGAATAGGAGTTAGCCAGTGAGAGGGGAGGAGATGGAAAGAAGCACATTCCAGAAAGAAGGGATAATGTATCAGTGAGGGTCCAATCAGGAGAGAAAGCACTCAGCAATTTGAACAGCGAGAGTTTAATATCAAGAATTACTAACTCTAACAGTAGATCAACTATAGAGGTGAAAAGAGAAATCACGAGAATACCCTCCAGTGGGACAATAGCCAAGGAAGGAGCAACTTAAATGGGTGGCCCCCAAGGCTGGGATTAGAGCTCAGTGAAGAAGGTGTGGGTGCAGTTCACTGAGTTGCCTCCAACAGGCCAGAGCTGGTTCCCAGTCACGGAGCAAGCAGGAAATGCCCTGCGGGAGTGCAGGGAGCCCACTTAGCAGCAGAGCAGCCCAAGGCCTGGGCTGGCGTATCCATGTCCAGAAGGAGGCAGCACACACCTTCGGGATACAGCAGAGTCAAGGCTGAGGGCTGGGCGGACAGAGGGAGGAGGTGCCAGGAGCTGCCTCCCAGGGACATGGTGTCCATGTTAGTAGGGCCACTGGCTGGGATTGGCCTGCATGCTCTGGGAGAGCACAGCTAGAGCAGAGCACTTTGGGTGTTGGTGCAGAAGGAACAAGCAGCAGCAAAAAGCAGCACACCAGAACCTGGGCCAGGGCCACTCCTCAGTCTCCAGGAAGGCACGAGCAACCCACTGGGACACACATGAGTTGAGGTGGGCAGTCTGAGGAAGTCAGACATACAGGAGTCAAACTTCTCTGCCATCCATTGGGCTCAACCACACCTCCTTCAACAAGGTTTGAACCCCGCTCCCGAGTTTGCCCTTTTGTGGGTACTCCCCTTCAGCCCTAGGGCACCCTTCAGAGTTCTCTTTCCATCTTAACAATTGTTCTCCTATCATAGCTTAATAATCCCTTATATTAAACTTCCACTGTTTAAATTACCATGTGCTACCTGTCTTCTGATTGGACCCAGGCAGATACAGAAGCCGCAGAGGTGCACTGTTCAGATCTGTCATCAAGAGAACCTAACGTGGAAGCACAGCTGAACTGTAGCCACCAGCTGCTCCATTTTTTGTCCACCACAAGGCTCCCACTGAGGCCTTGTGTCTGCCGTGCTGTGTCGAGCCAATGACTGAGCACAGAAGGGATACCAAGGCCAAGTCATTTCTGTCAGCATAGGACTCCTCTACAGGCAACCTCTGGATGGAGGCTCACCATCACAACCCCAAGGGCCTACGCTGTGATTTTCCTGCTGGGGCTTGCTCTGAGAGCCACGCTACAACTTTTCCCCACCACTGATGCCACTAACCCCATGGGGTCTACCAGACCCTGTGACCAAAGCAGGAGGGCTGCTTGAAGCACAGCCTGGACCGACTGCAGAACTTGTCTGCACTTCAGTCTTGCATACTTTACTGTCACCAAGGTGTAAGGACCAAAGGAGTATTCCTAAGTGTGGGACAGCGTTTCTCAACCTTGTTCTGTTGACATATTGGTCAGGTAATTCTTTGTTGGGGGTCGGGAGCTGTCCTGTGTATGGTAGGACATTTAGCAGCATTCCTCATGTCTGCCACTAGATGTTAGTAGTAGCATCCTCAGTTGTGACAATAAAAATGTCTCCAGGCATTGCAAAATGTCCCCTGGGGAGCAAAATTGCTCTTCCATCCCCACGTGTTGAGAATCGCTGATGTTAATATGCTGCCTCCAGAACCCAGTGGCCAACAAATCTGTTTCCTTCTTTGTGAAAAGGTATCAGGAGGCAATTTGTCTTTCACTTCTGAGGGAATATCCTGACATGCCCTTGACCCTGGATCCCTAAGAACATCACGGAAGTGGCAATTCATGTCTTACCAAGGCCTCCAGGACTACAGCCACTTACTGCTCATCCTGTCAAATCAGCATGATATCATCAATAAAACAGACCAGTGTGATGCTCTGGGGATGTTCAGGTGTCCGAATCTTTTCAGAATATAATGTGACACAGTGAAAGAGTTAAAATAACCCTGGGCCAAAGGTAAATGAATGATTCGTTCATACCATGTAAATGTGAACTGCTTCTGATCCTCTTTTGTAATTGGAATAGAAAAAAATGCATTTGCCAAATCAATGGTCACATGCCATGAACCTAAGGCCTTGTTAATCTGTTCTGGATAAACAGATTAACATTAATATCTGGACCTATGCTAGGTCCAGAATACCAGCTATGATTGGGGCTACTATTTGGTTGAATTTACGGTAGTCTATCAGACATTCTGCAAGATCCATCTAGTTTCTGAACAGCCAGTCTAGTGACTCAAGCAGAAATATGCTAGAGCTCACCACCCTTGCGTCCTTTAGATCTTGAGTGGTAGCACTAGCCCCCATCTCTCCTGGGATGCAATAATATTTCTGGTTTACTCTTTCAACTGAGGGGTCAGTGAGTTTCAGAGGTTTCCACTCAGACTTTTATACCATGATAGCTTTTACCGCACAGGCCAAGTACCTAATGTGCGGGTTACTCCTACTACCATGTGTGTTAATTCCAAGCATTTACTCCGAGACTCAAGAAATGACCACTCGGAAGCGCGCAGAACCTGGGAGCCACACTTTAATTTTATTACCTGATCCCCATAAACCCCTACTTTTACAGTCTAGCTATGATGATATTTGGGACCCCAGGTATTAATGTCAGCTCAGACCCTATGTCCAAGAAGTCCTTGAAATATCTATGGATTCCTCTTACCCCAATGTAGCCATCCAAGTAAATAAGATTAAGTCCCTTTGGAGAAAGACTGTGGGAACTAATTTAGGATATCTCTGCTGTGGTATTGCAGGGTCCTTCCTCCCGGGGACCCATCCACCTCCTCAGTCAGTTGGGTCTAGATCTGAAAATTGTCACAGGATCATGAGTTTTTAGTGGGGCAATTGCCCTCATCCTCCTGCTCCTCCATTCTTGCCTTTGTCTGGTTGTAGATATTAAGCAGCACCCTTGTTACTCACCTGTTGATTTTTCCTCCAGGGGCACCATGCTCTTTTAACCATCTCCATGACTCACTGTTGGTTAAGTCCCCTTGGCTGCACCTCCAATCTTGCGTGCATTACTCTTGGTCTTGATGTGTTCTCTGGGGCCTCCCATGGAATATAATCCTCTGTTGGCTTTCTGGCCTCACATAAAATATCCATTGCAGCACACACACATCCCTTGGCCTCTTTATTCCTTCATCTATCACCTCTCTTGGTGTGGTATAATAAAAAATCTTGGGTCTTCGTCCCCAGTTCCTGGCACAGAGCTCCTAAAACCCTTAGAATTTCCTGAGAGACAGGAATGTCTAATTGTTTTCATGAGGAGCCCTTTGACCATACCTGAGTTTATGCCAAGGAACTGACGCCTTGTAGGGGGAGGCCCTAGATAGCTTCAGGAAGGGGGCTAGTAACCAGAGGAGCCAACCAGGTGATTGGAAGGTTGGAACTTTTGGCCCTACCTCCCTTGCCCCCCACAACCTCCAGGGAGGGGAGAGAGACTGGAGATGGGGTTCAGCCACATGGCCAATGATTTATTCAATCATGCTCATGTGATGAAACCCCATACAAAAACTCTGAGATGAGGCTCAAAGAGCTTCCTGGTCAGTGAGCACATCAATGTGCTGAGTGGGTGGCATGCTTGGAGAGGGCATGGAAACCTTGCCCCAACCTCCCCAGACCTTGCTGCCCTACATATCTCTGCATCTGGTTATTCTTTGTATCCTTTATAACAAACCAGTAATTTTTTTTGTTGTTGCTCCTTCTTCTCCCCAAAGCCCCCCAGTACATAGTTGTATGCTGTAGTTGTGAATACCTCTGGTTGTGCTATGTGGGATGCCTCAGCATGGCCTGACGAGTGGTGCCATGTCTGCACCCAGGATCTGAACCAGCAAATCCCTGGGCCGCCGAAGCGGAGCACATGAACTTAACCACTTGGCCACAGGCCACCCCACAAACCAGTACTCTTAAGTATAGCACTTTCCTGAGTCATTCTAGCAACTTATTGAACCTAAAGGAGGGTCACAGGAACCCCCAAATTTGTAGCCAAGTTGGGCAGAAGTATGAATAGCCTGGGGACCTGGGAGTTGTGGTTGGTGTCCAAAGTCGGGGGACCGAGCCCCTTAACCTGTGGGCTCTCTGCTAAGTTTGGGTAGTTAGTGGATCAAACTGAGTTGTAAGACAATTGATGTTGCAACTATATGCAATAGAGGCATTTCCACTGCACTCAACATCGGCCATTGCTTTCTCCTGAGTTCGAAATAGAAGCTCACAGAAAGTTTCCTCTATCGCCTGGAGCTCTTGCTTGAGTGTTAAATCCTGTGTCCCCCAGAAATACTCCCACATCAATGAATTCTTGCTCTTCCAGGCCTACACTCTATCCCACTTGATCAAGCCTCTTAAAATCCAATCCCAGGCATACTCACCCCGGCTAGGGGCTGTACATACTACCTAGTTCTCACAGCTCCTTTGGTGTATCTTCTTTTTTTTTTTTTCTTTTTTTGCGGAAGATTAGCCCTAAGCTAACATCTGCTGCCAATCCTCCTCTTTTTGCTGAGGAAGGCTGGCCCTGAGCTAACATCCGTGCCTCCCCTTCTTCCTCTACTTTATATGTGGGACACCTACCACAGCATGGCTTGTCAAGCAGTGCCATGTCCGCACCTGGGATCCAAACCGGCAAACCCCAGGCCATCAAAGCAGAACGTGCACACTTACCGCTGCACCACCAGGCCGGCCCTATGGTGTATAATCTCTTCTTCCCTTATGAAGCCCAGCACATCCCGGGCAGGTTATGTTGGGACTTATCCCAAACTATTAGCCTGGCAGCCAAGAGAACAGGTGGGTGCAGCTGCTGAGTGGATACCTGTTGCCTTGTCAGGGAGAAGCCTCAGCAAGGTCTTCCAGAGTGGGGGAAGGAGTAGTACTTACTAAGGAAGGCTGGGCCTAGAGAACCAAATCCATGAGGATTTAGTGGGATCTGCAGAACCAACATCCCCACGGGCATACATCTTGATGTCTCCATCCCATTTGAGATCCCAGATTTTCTCAGTGGCCCTGAACTTGGCATAGTGTACTTGCCTTGTCTAAGCATTTAAACATCCCAGGAGCTCTGCAACTGTATCAGATCTTCGGCTTGCTCTTTAGTTTCTGCTCTGCCACTGAAGATTAGGGCCTCCACGTGAACTTCCAAAGAGACCCTGTAGCTCTCACAATTAACATTTACTACTTGTTAATCTCCCTGAGTTTCTCATTATCTCAATGCAAGATGAAGATACAACCTTGCAATATCCAGATATCTTTTTAAAATAGCTTTATTGAGATATAATTCACATACACTTCACCCATTTAAAGTGTACAATTCAATGGTTCTAGAATATTCAGAGAATTGTGCAACTGTCACCACAATCAATTTTAAGATATTTTCACCATCTCCAAAGAAACCCCATACCCATTAGTAGTCACACCCCATTTCCTTCCAACCCCTCAGCCCTAGGCAACCACTAATCTATTTACTGTCTTGACAGATGTGCCTACTCTGGACATTCATATAAATGGAATCATACATTATGTTGTCTTCTGTGACTGCCTCCTCTCCCTTGGCATTATGTTTTCAAGTTTCATCCATTAGTTTCCTAGGGCTGCTGCAGCAAATGACCGCACCTACACAAACTTGGTGGCTTAAACAACAGAAATTTTATTCTCACAGTTCTGGAGGCCAGAATTCTGAAATCATGGTGTCTGCAAGGCTGTACTTCCTCCAAAGGCTCAGGAGAGAATCCGTTCTTGCCTCTTCCAGCTTCTGGTGGCCTCTGGCATGCCCTGGCTTGTGGCAGCATCACTCCAACCCTGCCTGTCTTCATTTGGCTTTCCTTTCCCTGTGTCTCTCGTAAGAACACACATCATTGGATTTAGAGCCCAGCCAGATAATCCAGAATGATCTCGAGATCCTTATGGACACCAGCAAAGACTCTTTTTCCAAATAAGGTCACATTCGCAGGTCCCAGGGGTGAGGACATGGACACATCTTTTGGAGGGACACCTTTCAAACCACTATATCCATGTTGCAGCATTTATCAGTACTTCATTCCTTTTGATGGCCAAATAATATTCTACTTAATGGATATGCCACGTTTGGTTTGTCCATTTCTCAGTTGATGGGCATTTACACTGTTTCCTTTTTTTTGCTGTGAACAGTGCTGCTGGGAACCTTTGTGTGGATGTATGTTTTCAGTTCTCTTGAGTATATACTTAGAAGCGGATCTACCATCTTTAGAGCATGTTCTCTCCATATCTTTCAAAGTCCATTCACCAGGAATTTTTCCAGTGTCACCACCACTTTGAGGATTCCGCCAAGGAATCCTCATGCCCCATCTGCCACTCACAGTAGTGCTGGTTTTGGCTGTGAGTAAAGCAGTCTCAAAACCTGTTTTCTCAGACCACTGCTGGCACCACTTGTGTTAGTTGAGTCCTCGGATAAGTAGATGCTTAGGTGGGACTAGATGTGCAAGATTTAGTGGGGAAATGCCTATGAAGGAAAAAGGGGAGTGTGGCAAGTGGAACATCAGTCCCCCAGATATTCATATCCTAATCCCTGGGGGCTGTGAATGGCAAGCGTGGGTATTAAGGTTGCAGAGGGAATTAGGGTTGCTAGTCAGGCGTTGCTAAAATGAACAGATTACCCTGGATTATCCAGGTGGGTCCAACGTAATCACAAGGGTCCTTTAAATGGGGAAGAGGGAGGGAGAAGTGTCAGAGTGAGGTGAGAAAGCCTCTACAGGCCATTGCTGACTTTGGAAATGAAAGGGGGCCACGACCCAGGGAATGCAGGTGGCTTCTAGAAGTTGGAAGAGGCAAGAAAATGGATTGTCTTCTAGAACTTCAGAGAGGAACTTTCTTGCTGACACTTTGACCTTAGCCCAGTAAGAATCATTTCAGACCTCTGAC